GAATACAAATGATTCTTTTAAACAACGAGGCAAATGTCATTAGAAGGCAAAACAAAATTTATCCCGTCCTGCAATTCGCACAATGGGTATCCCAGCAGGTGCATTACAGTTATTAAATAGACTCAGATAAATTAATATTAAAAATAGAGATTAATTTATTTTCCACTTTCTACTTATTCCACCTTTTTCCACGATTTATATTTTTCTTATTATTTTCACCCCTTATCATTGTTACCGAACAGAAACCCGCATGCAGTTTCCATATTCCTGAGTTGCTGGCGCACAGCATCCAGAGACTTGTTAAGCGAACAACTCTTATGGCTACATTCAGCGGTCTAATAATCTGCCAAGCAGTTTTCTTCCGTCACTACGGCATCGATGACCTTCAACGTCAGCCTACAATTCATTCATTTGCTGACGATAATCGAACCATATGAAATGCTCGAGATTTATATCAGCATGGCTACCGTAATGCCATTGATGACTTTCTGTACTAGCCTACTACTCATTCATTCGTTGATGATAATCGTGTCATCTGAGATGCTCAAGACTTGTATCCACTTGGCTACTTTGGCATAACATTTCTTTACCTCGACATTACATAAACAGTTACTCATTAAAACTCCGGCTAATGTCGATATGCTGTCCCTCAACTGCTTACAATTCTTAAAATCGGCTTCATTCAATACTGACGCATTTGGGTCATAAGGTTCATATAAATTCGATTGCACACACAATTACTCTCCATCTCACCTGCTAATCACAAATTTGATCGGACACAGCGTCTTGGGTCGAGAACACGCATGTTTTTGCAACAGAAGTCGTAGCAATTAAGTGATGCCAAAGATGATTCCTGAATTTATCCAAAGTACAAAGGCAAACCGAAGCTGTTCCACCTTTCAAACATCTTCACGTCTAAGATTGCAAAGATGAATAAAAGAACGAAGGATGACGCTAAGGGCAAGAACTACTAGGGTGAAGCGGGATTAAAAAACACAGTAACTGTTATACTTGCTTTTGGAAGGGCTCGATGTCACTTATGAAAATAGATCCAGACAAAACGGTGAAATTTAATATCTGTGTAATACTTGGAGTGCCAAAGCCCGAGTTCGGCGATCTGCCGTAAAACTTGCCTGTCATAATTCTCTGCGCTGCTAGCAACATTACAGCTGAAAGGGACACACTGAAAATGAGGTTTTGCCCAAAATTCAGCACGGCAAGACTGGAAGTAGTTTTCAACGACGCTTCTTCATATTTCGCCAACAGTTTGTCGTATTCGTCGGCTTCAAATGCTTCGTTGTTAAAATACTGAACAAAAAATGCTAGGTTCAATCAGAAAAGGTAATTAGCAGTGCATCGGCATGCCTTCACGGTTTCGTAGTTGATCAGGGCGTCCACGGCACGATTTCCAGCAGCATTGTCGTATGTGTTCATTTGGTGACGAAATTTTGTCCTAAAACAAAACAAAATTAAGTATGGCCATCAGCTGGTGTAAAAAGATTTCCTCTAAACAAATTAAAAAATATAGTATAACATAAAGTCCAAAACTTCCGCAAAACACTGATTTCATGCGATCAAAATTTTTCGACACTACCTTTCGATTCGGTAAAATTTTCTTTCATTTCAATAAACTGCAAAATAGTTTACATGATGCCGTTCTGAAGGACAAACGAAGATATGAGAATTCCGTCTATGAAATCAAGAAAACCGCAGATACCAAATTTATAGTAGTCAAGTAAAACAGACTGCGCTATCCGCTAAGAATTAGGATCTGACAACCATCCTTTATAGCCAAAACTCTATCTGCTCAATGTGTTGAAGAACATTAAGGAACAATCATCAAGATGTAAGCGCGACTAAACATAACCAATTATCAACAACCCTGAACAAGCGTGCTGCCTGAACCTTCAAAACACAAACCTTGAACAAAAGCGGACTCATTTTAAATTAAGTGGCTCCTAGCTCGGAATAAGATATAATATTAAGATGTCAGAAGAAGAGAAAAGCAGGAAAAAGGGAAGTTTGTAAATATCAATGACGGTCTGCGGTACCTTTCAAAATTTCTAACACTCACAATCCATCGGTAACAAGTCAGCAGCTCAAAGAATACTACAGCGTACGGACTTTTGCTTTCTTGCCGTGTAGTGGCACTCATTTGCCAACTACAAAACGGCAAAGCGAAGAATGCCACGTATCCAGGATTCGAATCCACGACGCTGTGACTGTGACAAGATGCTGTCCTGCTAAAACCCATGTCAAATCGGTCGAAACGTCAGATCTGCGTCACATTCACACAAAAAAGTTTTGGACTAGTGCTGCTAACCATCGAATCAAGACATGGAAATTTTTCGCCAGATTTTTTATTTTTGCAGTTTCTTCTACTTGAGGAGCAGAATGCTGGTTGTGTCTTGTCCTCTCAAAGACAACAGGCAAATAAATCCTAACGTACTGCTTAAAATATGCATAGACAACAGTTCCTTTTGGACTTACCTCCACTGCGTAATGACTACGGTAAACACACTGTAAGTACCGATGCAGCCCAACGTCAGTAGCGCAAAGTCCGTTCCACACTTGTAGTACTAAAAACAACAGGAGCTTCAAAATGGACAGTGGTCAGAACTTACCATTACTCCAGTGACCAATCCGAATTCAAACGCCGTTGGAACAACATTGAACACAAGGGCCGACAAAACGAAATTTATGCCTCTAACATGCCAATAATTATCAGATAAGAATAACTACAATAGGCCTACCGCGTTCCACGGTCGACGGCCTTCGCCAATGCGCCGGTCTGGCGATTCAGGTGATAATCAAGATCAAGTTTGTGCATATGTAAAAACACCTTTCGTGCGACCGTTCGAATTGAATTCTGTGCCACTTTGGCGAACACTGCGTTTCGACATTCGTTAAATAGCGAGGAAGTTGCTCGTACACCTCCATCTGAAAATTAAGATAGACATAAGAAGTACCCAGATATATAAAAACAACTGAAGAAAATGAAATTCCATTGAACTGCCTTCGTAACGATAATAAAAAAATACCTCCACGTTACTGCCTTCGCCTATGGTCAGTGTTGATTACTCAATGAAAAGCGCGAACCCAGA